GTATGCCAAACGTGTTGCCCGAATAGCATTGAAAAAAGACACAATCACCTATAAGAGATCATAGACATAGGTTTTGCCAGGAAGAGTAATTGTCTCAAATAAGGTATAACTCTATGAATGTGGGATGGAAAAGAGCATGCAGCGTACATCTGGGAAGATGCCCTCACCTGCCCGTCCTTGTGGTACACAAAAAGGTTCTTTGAGCGTTCATCATCCACATAGGAGATCTGCAAACCGGTAGCATGACCGATCTTCTCTGGTTGGAAGACTGCATTCAGATCCTTCATGTTGATGACAGCTTTGGGAACCTTGGACTTGGTTTTAATGAGATGATTGAGGAAGATTAGAAAAAGAGGTATTTGGCCAGAGTCAACTGAAGAATGCTTATACAGCTGTAAACTAAACGGTCTTATGACTGAAGAACTGCTCACATCCTCTTTGATGAAGTATCTGAGGGTGAAGTCTTTCTGTGAGAGCAGGAAGGTGCTTTTAAAGAACTGCTTACTGTCTTTGCCTTTCTTCCATAGTGTTGCCTCAAACAGTTCTGGAGTATCAAACAGTTCAAAAAAGGTGAAGCAAATAAACTGCAGGTTAGACTTTGATGGGAAAACAAATGCTGGGTTGTCAATGTTTTGTTGACGGGGGAAGGTTTCTTTTTTTTAATTAAAAATATTGCGAGGATAATTACCTGCACTGTACACTTTTTGAAAGTAGATGTTTTCTCCTGTGAATTCCCGTCTTTCGTACTTGGCACGGATCCACTGATCCTTAAGAACGCTGAAAACAAACAAGTCCGTGAAAATGTGTAGACCTGTCACTTCTCTGCTGTTCCTCTTTCTACCTGAGAAACGTGACTACTCCACTCCCATTCACTAAACAAACCGTTTGTTGTCTTTGCTTCCCACTTCCGTTGAGATAATGAAATGAATGGGTGCCAAATGCAGTGAAAGTCACTTACACGCAATCTTTCTGCTGTGGTTGGTAGAAAAAGACCGGGACACACTTCTCAAAAATAGCTTTGGCAGCAGAATTTCCCTTCTCTTGCATGAACTGAAACCGCATAATGTGAGAGTTAAAAATAAAGGTTAGAACAAGATAATATTGTTTACATGATGAACAGACTCAAATTAAATTTATTTTAAAATGAAGCACGAAATGAAAATCTGGAGGTAACGGAGTAATAACAGAGGGAACAGGGGGGAGTGAAAAATCAAAGAAATCTAAAGGTATCCAACACCCTCTTTATAATAAAAGGAAAATTTCTAAATTTAAGAGAACATGAATAAATAATTAATCATATGAATTCATGCTAATAATCAATACCTCTACAAGTGAATCTTCCCAATGATCCAGCCGTATGGATTTCACTTTGCTGACTGCAGGCAGATTACGATGCATCCCCGAGCAGTTCAGGCACACAAAGACGCCGAGAGTGTAAGAAGCCCAGTCAGGGTCTGCGAGCAAAAAGTGATCGCAGTGTTTATTTTATAAGAAGGAACTAAGTACAGTGCAAAAAAAAAAAAATAAAAGTAGTCCTATGAACTGCCTAATGACCATAATGTACAAAGATTATAAAGCAAAAATCAGTGTTTCTTTTCTGCACAATTATAAAGTCGATAAACAGGCGAAAGAATAAGCGTATAAAACACTGTTTGCACTACCTCTGTCTTCGTTTCACATAGGTACACACTGTATTAACTGTCCTCATACAGTGAAGGTGAAAAGTGGTGGAAAAAAGGAGGAACAATAAGGTCATACCACCCTATACAGCAGTTTTCTCTTCCCCTTCTGAGAGCTTATTACAGTTTTACTTGGTTATAAAATAATATTTTGGACACAATATTGTTAACTAAATAAAGCACATGACTCAGTCAGATGGGCCGTCTATTACCACTTGTGACGTAGTGAAATAAGGTAAATAAAATGTTCTCTGGAGAGAAAGTTAAAAAAAAAGTATAAATAAATAAAAATCTATCAGTGCTAATCTATAAATTAAACCTGAGTCTGTTGAAGTGTACTCACCAGGAGCTCCACAGTCAGCACACAAGTTGTTACCCGGCTGTTGCACCAAATCAAGGAGAATTTTGTTATTTCTTTCAGAAGTGGCCATCGATGAAGGGCGTCTGCTTCTCTTGGGCTGACAGTCAAATCCCAACAAAACATCTACTAGGTAGTAACTCCATATTGACTCTACACACTTCACAGTACAGAGCTATTCTGCCCTGTAGCAGGTACAAACATCTCCGTGGCCAGTGGGCCAGTATTTCCTCTTAACAATGCAGCATCATGAAGTTTATTGTTCTGCACACAAACACATATATCCAGAAATAACAGAGAAAGGAAGTGAAACATACGTCACTCAGTTACTGGGTGATTGACTTACAGTATTAGGCTGCTAGGCTTGTCGCTGTTCGAAAGCTGTGAGAGCAGCAGTTTTGTTTTTAAAGTTAAGGTCAGCAGCAGTAGCAAGAAAAAGGAGGGAACTTTCCAGAATAGCTCCAAGCTTATGTGCCAGTTTTACAAACTGTTGCAAACTTATAGCCAGACTTTTGTCCTACATCTAAATTTAACTGCTGCTGTTGTCACGAGTGGCATTCATTTGCTTTAAGTCCTGGGCTAGAATTAAGACTGGATAGGCAGATGTCAGTGAGACAGACAAAACCCACCTTTAAAAATGTATTTTTACACATCGGATAAAAATACCTCCTGTGGGGAGTTGCCACTATATTAATAAAATGTCTATAAGATGTATCTGGTGTGCCAAAATAAATCGTCAACTGCGTTCATACAGCAGATAAAGAAAAGGGGGAGATGCAAATTGCACTATTAATTTAAAAATTACAAAACCCAGAGTGAAACAGAGGAATGAAGTGGGAAAAGTCTGTGTGTCAACTAGCCTGCTTACATTTTATGACCTTGACTCAGTACTCTTCAAACTCGACCTTCATCTTGGCCCCAGCTGCACAACTGTAAAATTTTGTGACTATATTTTGAATTGTTGAGGTGACAAATGCTTTTTGTTGCAGTTTCCGCTGCAGTACGTATCTTCAGCACTGCGTGTTGACAAGCTGACAAATGCACGTAGGGACAAATGCATAAGGTAACAACTGCTCAAACAACAACAGCTGCCTGAACCCACTATGAACATGAAAGTTAGAAGAACGGTGTCTCTCTTAGGAAAATTCAGTCCAAGATATGTGGTCCAAGACTCCCCTGTTGGGACCTTAAAAAGAACTATTTCCTTTCATTGTTTCCTCCACAGAAGTTGGCTGGAAAACTTAAATATAAACAAAGAAAGCTTTATTAAACACACTTGGGAAAAATGTGTTTGTTTGGTTTATAACTCTATAGCTCCTGCATAGTTCTGCTTATACCAGTTAAATTAAACTAGAGGAAAGTAGTAACACTGAATAGAGTTTATTTTAAGCTAACCGGAACAAAAAAAAAAAAAACTGTTCACATAGATGCAGAACAGATGAACATTCTTACTTAGTGACTGTCTGACGATTTTTGTGTCCATTCAGATTTAGAAGCGAACGTCTACTTTCTATACTGTTTATATGCAGAGAAATGGATTAAATGGTGGAAACCAAAGAAGGAAAAATGTTGCACAGATTTCAGGGAAGAGTTGAGATGGGCTCTGGGTGGTAAGGAAGAGTTAGCAGATGACTGGGAAAATACAGCAGTAATGGAAAATGGTAAATGGACTGGTTATTATAGAGCACATTTCTACTCTACTCTTTATACAACATGCCTCATCAACCCATTCATACAAGCATTTTTTTCTATGCTGAAGTGCTTTCTAATATTCACACAAATTCACACTTTGATGGATGCATCGGAGAGCAGCTTGGCGTTAGTGTCTTGCCCAAGGATATAGGGCATTCAGATTGGAGTAGGCAGGGATCAAACCACCAACCTTCAGATTTGTAGATGAATTTGGGATTGTGGAAAGAGTTGTTGAAGCTAGGTTATTGAGAGAGGTGCTGATCAGAGCGCAGCAGTATGGCTTTATGCTGAGAAAGTTTGCTTGAGAGTGATGACGGAGAAGTATAGAGGTCACAAGGAGTTGCACTGTGTCTTTGTGGATTTAGAGAAAGCATATGATAGGGTGCCAAGGGAGAAACTGTGGTACTGGATGAGGAAGTCACAAGTGGCAGAGTATGAGGGAGTATTTGCGGGTGGTGCAGGACCTATGAGAACAGTGAGGCAGTGGTGAGGTGTTTCAGCAGGAGTGACAGATGGGTAAAAGATGGGGGTGGGATTACATCAGGGATCAGCTCTGAGTCCCTTCTTGTTTGCATTGATGATGGACAGGTTGGCAGATGAGGTGAGGCAGGAGTCTCTGTGCACTACGATGTTTGGAGACAATATTGTGATCTGTAGTGAGAGCAAGAAGCAGGTGGAAGGGAGCCTGGAGAGGTGGAAGTATGCACAGGAGAGAAGAGGAATGAAAATCAGTAGCAGCAATACAGAATACATACTTGTGAATGACGCAGACAGAAGTGTAACAATGAAGCTGCAAATAGTAAAGGTATTGAAGGAAAATTAGTTTAAGTACCTGAGGTAAACCATCTAAAGCACTGGACAATGCACAAGAGGAGTAAAGAAAAGAGTGGAGGCAGGGTGGAGTGGGTGGAGATGTGTGTCAGTGGCGATTTGCAACAGAAGGATACCAGCAAGAGTGAAAGTGGAGGTTTACAAGATGGTAGCAAGACCTGCTATAATGTGTGGTTTGGAGACCTTCACCCCTAAATGCAGTAGTCGAAAAAAGATGGTTTATCATTATGTATTAAACATTAAAAAAAATAAATAAACCCAGCTCGGGAGTGGACAAATGAGCATTCTGTTATTTATCAGTTATTATTATTATTATTTATGATATTATTATTTACTTATTTTGTTTAATTATCTAATTCTTTATTTTTGCCTTTATTTCTACGACGTCCGATACATCGAGTATATGCCAGGGAGGGATTAAGCAGCATTCCGGAACCATTTGAAGTGTTGTTGTGCCACACCGACCAGTTAAAACCGTTGGACACCAAACAATCAGGGGCGAAGTTGTTCCACCTGCATTATGCCGGCGAGCAAAACCGTCAAATATTCATTTTAACTTCAAGTAACGATAATGTGGGTCGCCAGGCGAGTTTTGTCGTCGCTGGTCAAAAGAAGTAAGAATTTTTAATGCACATATGTCGTTAGCTAGTATCGCCAGTTGTAAAATGTCGTTTCATTGCAAGCCTTTATAAGTTGCATCTTCTTTTATGGTCTTAAATGTTCATGAACAGGTATACCTTAAGTAACTTTGGCTGAGCTCCACACTCATATTGTAAAAGTTAACACCTTAAACGTTAGACTAAGATTGAACACATGTTGCCCCGTTGTTTTTCCAGGTCAGTATGCGGGACAGTCCGGTTTGTTTTGCCGCCCTCAGTACGGCTCCTTCCCTGAGCTGCGGTACCTTCAGTGCACATGCTGCTGGAGAAGCCGGGTTCCCGTGGCGAGCTTTGAGACCCTTAACGCTAATCTGTCCTCCAGTAATGAATCCTGCAAGGACGACGCGAGCAGAACGCTGGACACCTGCTACACCCCAGAGCAGCGAGACGCTATCCTCCAGCTCCTCAACACCGCCACGCCAGGAGAGCTGGCCGGGATAAAGCTGCTGCGAGGTCGCAAGTCCCTCAACATTGTGGAGTACAGGACTAAAAACGGACCCTTTAAAACTCTGGAAAGTGTGGTGAATGTTCCACTGCTAAAGCACAAAAGTGCTGTCATTGTCTTCAACTCCATTCTCAACCCGACGGTTAAGAAGGAGAGGAAAGTGAGGATACAGCTGGCCAAGTTCATCAGGCCAGAGGTCGACAAGTCTTGGTTAGAGGTGAGCTTTTCGTGTTAACAGGTGATTTCCGGTGTGTGGTTTGTTTGTTTGTTTGTTTTGGGGAGGGTCATATGATTGTTGGGGATTTGTTTTCTTTGCATTATTTTAGGTGTTTTACCTTACAAAATAAATCACCCTGAGGCATCTTATTGTGATTTGGTAAGTAAGTAAAATTCAATTCAATTCAATCATTATTTGACAAATAACAGAAATCACTTCTTGCTAGACGATCAACATTTGACACATCTGTGTTTGAAATATCTACAGTGGTCTGTATGATCACGGGCAATTCTAGGATTTTTTATTTTCTTAATTGTTTGCACTTAATCTCGTTTTATTTGTTGATAAGCCATCCTCTGTCAACAGTGCCCATATTTTGGATGACACAGATGTTCTTTTATGTAATTACATGATCTATGAGAATTATGAACCACATAAGTGGGTTCTTCCTGACTCAAAGTAGGCTTTTTGCACATGATATGCACATAGGTTGGTACACGTGTACTGTTCAAGACTAACAATCTGCCACCCTGCTTAGAAGTCTTTCTCCCTGCTTTTTTTTTTTGTAAACACGTGATAAATGTTTTCATGCTTCAGTAAATTAAACCCCACGTAAACAAATGTAATCGCAGCCCCATTGATTTTCCTTTGGCAGAAGTTTAAATCTTTGGGGCCAACTTTTATGCTTGGAAAAGCAAACATGATATTGTAAAAATCAAATATCACAGGATGTTGGATAGCTGGTGATGGACTTTACTGTGATAGGGTTTACTGTCTACTTCATAACCTTGAGCTGTTAAAAGAAAATATTAACTATGAAAAGAAAGAGCAGGATAATGCTCTCTAATCATGATTCTGTATTTGCCGATGCAGGATGCCAGTTCCATAGTGTCACTCATATGTGGGACTAATAAAATTGCCTGGGCACACGTGGACCGTGGAATGAGTGTACTGGACTGGCAACAGGTGGACTGTCCGAATTTCCTGAGGGGAACTTACATGGCTTCTGCTTATTTGCATGATGTAAGTACTTTTGTAGAGCATATTATTTCTAGTAAAGTCTAGCTAAATGAGAACGTTAATGTAGACTAACAGTCACTGTGTTTTGGACCTTTGTTTCTGTAACATAATTCATTAATTCTGTGATGCCAACAGGTGTCTTCAGTTGTGGCCCTCCTGCCATCAGCAGATTTCTACATAATAGAGAAATCTTCCATTTCAGTCCAAAACACAGCTCTTTTCCCCATCATGGCACACATGAGGGCTGTGGAGGCCATGCTTTTTGCTCTGCTGGAGCCCAAAAATTCCCTGCCAGAATCCAACATTCCTCCCAGGTGAAGTTAAAAAAAAGATATCAAAAGTATTTGGTTTGAACTTGTGCTGGTCACATCTGTAATCCTGCACAAGCGAGCGTGCATGCAGAAACTTGACCCAGAAATTCTCTCCTTTCCTTTACAGGGTTCTCAACATGATGAGGACTGCTGTAGGGCGCCACTTTGGACTGATGGTAGGTGAGTCTCGAACAAGCGGGGCGCAGGCAGTTCGACAGCTCATGACAGAGTCGGTGACGCAGAAGCTTCCCAGAATAAACTTTCCCCAGGATCTGCTGGTGAAGTACAGGAATTCCTTCCAGATGGGCAGCAGAAGAGGAGGGGAGGAACTCTGTGACGCTCTCCTTCAGGCTATAGCCTTTTATGAGCTGCTCAGCGACTGCTCCTGAGAGCCACTAGCTGGACTCGTCTCGTCACCACACAACCAACAAACCTCAGAAATGGCATTCTGAGTTCTTTTGAACTTTTTTTTCCCTTTGAACTTTTTGGAGATTAATGATAACTTTCAAGAATTAAATATTTTTATTGTGACTTAAAACACTCAAATGCTGTTTTCTGGGTACTGTTTGAGTATAAGGGCTGCTCCTGTGTTTATTTCTGCTACTAACCCTGACAGGGGCGTTGCGGGTTTTCTTCTTGGCTTTTTTTAAAAACCTTTTTTTTGGTTAAACCCAAGGGTTGAAAGTTTTAAAGTTTTTTTTCAAAACCCCTTTTGGTTCCTTGGTTATTCGTTCTTTTAATTTTTTTTAAATTGTTCGTTTTATTTTCCAAAAAAAAGGCAAACTTTTTATTTACTTAATGGTTGCACTTACATATAAATAAAAAACATGATTCCTCAAATAAACCACGTTAATTTCATTTCACAGTATCTGACTAAAATAAATACTGACAGGAGTAAACTGAGGTAGAGATGATGTCAGGTTCAATAGTCTTTTAGGAGTCACGTGAAACCTTCTGCCAGGAGCTGCATAGTTGACTTTGAGAGGCCCAGGTGAATGTTGTTGAGGTAGTTCATACACCTATTGTGGGAGAAATTAGTATGTAAAGTATTAGATAAATGCACAAAATGTTAGATATATTTTAAAGGGATTATTCACTCTTAAACTAAATGTACATTCCTCCACTCCCTTCTGGGGTGTAGTGTTATTTATCAATCTAGATTTCTTATTATGTCAGGCTTATGATTCATGACAGAATCATAGCAGCAAGGGAACAAGTTGTTTTACAAAAAGACTTCCTGTGCGGTTTCTCTACAGGTACCTCTGCTTCCTCCCATGGTCCAGACACGGGCTAGTTAGGTTAACTGGAGATACTAAATTGGCCATGTGAAAGTGAGAATGAAAGGTTGTCTGTCTCTGTGTGTTAGCCCTAGTGTGAAGAAGTGGTGTTATTTAACTCTTGTCCCCTTGAAAGCCTACTATGAGTAAATCTTTAAGCGGTTTTCTGAAACGAGTGGTTTCTGCTTATAAAACTAAATGACTGGGTGTGCATCAGAAGTTAGTGAGGGTGGTCTCTGCAGATATACTCCTGGACAAACTAAGAAACTGTTCTAAATGTTGTTCAACCACATCTTCACTGATCTACACTGAGGTGTTCAGGGAGGTTATCTGCCATTCTCTCTCACATGAACTTATTGTGATATTACATCCTCACTAGTAACATGAAATCCATCTCCATTTCCTGTCATTTATGATTGTCCCCTACTTTCGGACTCTTAAACCTTGTGTCTGACTCACCTCAGTGGCTCTTGTTTCTGTTGCTGTGCTTTATGTAAGCGGCAGATTGAGCGGAGGACCGGCATGTAGTCGACACACACAGCCCGTCTGTTCCCCAGCAAAACAAAGGGTTTACTGCTGAGAACCGTCCTGTTCAGTCTGAATCTTCTTTGGGACAAACTGGAGGCACGAGAACAAAGAAATTGGTGTTCTGCTTTATAATGTGCACAATATTAGAAATGTTTAGTGAAGCATCCACGTGCATTCATAAGCCCCCCTCATCCTGGAGCGACATCGCAGGTAGAATGAAGTTCTATGTACTTTTCCACTAAAGATGCTTTGAGTTATTTAACTGAAATTGTTAACCTTTCATTGGTCAGTGTCTTGCTTTTTAAATGGATTTGGACAAGGATTTATCAAATGAATGTCATGTAATGGCGCTTTCCCTTATACTTACATTATAAAGCATTTAAAAGAAGTCAACATCCTTGAAACTTAAGCAATGATAACTAAGTATGACTGGACAACTGAAATGGAAAGATGATAAACAACTTGAAATGGCATTCAGAAGATGAGGTGGAGAGCAGACTCACCTTGGCTCACAGAGAGGCTGAAAACTAAAGCTGAGACTGTGTCTTTTAGAAGAGGTCAATGCAAGTCTCCCCCACCTTTTGTCCTCCAGCACCTGTCTGATTTTTTGCACTTCAGTCCATGCTTCAGACGCTCTGCACAAGCACCTGTGACACCCCAAACCTTCAGCAGCAGCCTGAATGTCCAACAGCCTCTCCTGACTGTAGCTGCTGTCCTCTCCCTCCCTCATCTCATCCAACAAACCAGCCTTTAGCGCCGCTCCTGTCCACACAAATGACTCGGGTGCGCAGGAGTCGGAAACACGTGTCCCTGTGGGCGGCAGGGTGGCATCGAGGTAGGACATGATGTCAAAGAAGTCAGTCAGGGCGTCTAAACACTCACTCTCCTCTTTAGCTGCAATCTGTTGAGCCGTACTGCCTGAGTGCAGAGCTTTTGAAGTTGTCCCACTGAATGAGAATGTTTTTTCAAGGCCCAAACTGTCAGATGATGTGTTGTTATACTTCCTTCTGCTAAGCTTTGACGTATGGCTTACAGATTTGCTGTTGGTCAGTGAAGCCCTTTGATAAATGCTTCTATTGTGCTGCTCGATGTGAAGCCCAACATCAGATTGCTCGCACTGCAGCCTGGAATAAGCTACTGTTTCCAAGCATCGAACCGTAGTATGCTGAGCTGCTACAGACAGGAGAAGCTCCAGGTTCAAATAGAGAAGCGGCACGCCTCGTCTCCAGCTCTCAGCGAGAAGCATCAAGAGCTCGTTCATGTGCTTTTTAGACGAGGACTGAGAATCAAAACACGATAGATCGGAAACGTTAATTTCATTTGGAGAAATGATCATGAAGATTTATGCAGAGAAACAAATACTTGCCTTTAGAAGGTTCAGCAAATGTTCTGGAGTTCCACCGCAAAGACCCAGCATGTTAGCAGAGCAGCCTGTTTTGTACGGAGGCAATGAGTCTAAATGTTCTCCTTCAGCAGCATCTGAGTCTAAAACAGGAAGATTTACAGAGAATAACATAAAATTTTTTGTTTTAAATGTTATTTATGCTTTATGTTGGAGAAACTTACACTGCACACAGATGGGTTTCTTAGACCTTCCACCACTCTGCACCCAGACCTGCAGCTGCAGCAGGCAGCGTCTGACGTCACCACAGGTGAGTCTGAGGAGGCTGCTGACGTCACCCAAATCCAGCTGCACTCCCTCAGCCAGACACACCAGCTGCAGGTAACTGCACATATTCACCTTCGAAAAGATGGAGTTAATGACAGACTGAGTTATTTTTCTATTAACAAAGTTCTAATAACATTTTTCTTCTTCTATAGCACAAACATGCAAGAAGAGAGCGGCGCTACTGTCAAACACATGCATGCAGTTGTCATTGAAGCTGTGTGAGGCGGTCGAGGTAACTTTGACTTACTGCTGATGGAGTTTTGAAAATTATTTCATCCAAGCTGCCGTCGAATCGATCCTTGAATAAGGGATCTGAGGAAGACACTAGTTTAGAACCAACAGCTCATCTTTAAAAGTGAAATTCAAACTCTGCGTGTGCGTCATACCGTTCGTAGTCAAAATGACTGGTCTTTTAGTGGTACTCATAAAAGCCTTAATGGCTGCAAGGAAACCGACGTCATCGTCAAATATAACGTCAACCTGCAAGAGCAAGCAATAACAGTGAATCTGAAGCAAACACGGTTAACGTGTGGCTTTATATGCCAAACGGTGTCGTGCTCAGAAATGGTTTACCTCTTCAAAGAGAATAAGTGAAGTGGCTGTCTTTTTCTCTGCTACATCAGAGCCTGACGATGAGTTGACCAGTTTCTTGTTCTCTGGCGTTTCAGATGGTGACAGGAAACCAGACTGTAAGTGATCTGCTTTGGCCTTCATCCTAAAATAGCGAGTCAGAGTGACTGTGGCTGATTTTGCTTTTGCGCTGCGACGAGAGCCTCTCAAATTCTGTGATGTTCTTCTTTTTGAGGTGGAAGTGACATTTTTAGGAAGCACCCTTTTTCCTGTTAACAGAAAATATAATTACCTGTACGGTAAAATTGTGCCTCTGTTGTTTTTCAGTAAAAGAACTGAGGGTTCTGATTACTCGTGTTACAATGAAAACAAATGATCATCACCATTGATGTTCTACCTAGTAAAATCTCAGATTTAGAAGTGCAGGTGTTGGTGTTGAAGTAAGCCGGTTTCAGCTGGTCTTTCCCCGACGTCTCCACTAGGTGTGACTGGGTAACCTCCTTTAGCTGGGACAGAACATTGCGCCCATTGCGCTGTGAGGAACAGTTCACCTCAAACACCTTGGTTGAGAAGAAACCAAAGCATTAAGACTAGTGGTGGAGAAAAAAATTTATGGCAGGTTTTAGTGAGAGTGTGAAGTGAGAGAAATTTATCTTACTGGATAAAACAGAGAATGACACAGTTTAACTCTGAGGACATAATTTGACAAAAAATTGTCACTGTGAGTGAAGTGTTGTGATAATATCATATTGTGGGGTGTCTGGTTATTACCACCTCCAGTGGAGACCTGATCAAAGTCAAAAATGTCACATTTTACCAGTTTTAAAATTGGAGACTCCGAGCATATCAGGTGTTGATTTTTTTATAGATACCTTCTGGGATGAGCCACAAAAATTTCAACCAGTAGAAAAGTAATATATTGTGAGAAGGATTCAATTTTAAATTTGAACTTCTGTACATTTCATATTACAGCTGTCTGTTGCCATTTTAAATTAGCTGTTTAACCACAGCTTAGTTTCATAGGGGTCGTTTGTTTTTATGTAAAGTTAGTGAAATCAAACTCATGTTAAGGATCATCGTTATTAATATTACAATGAACTAAACAGGTTATCTACGGGGATTCTTTGCTTTACTTAAATGGGAAAAAGGTTTTATTGGACATGTTTGGGATGGTGATCTGGCATTAAGATTCATCCTAACATGAATCCATGTTTGGTGGAACTGATTTCTCACAAGCCTTTGACAGCATCGCTTAAAAAACACCGGACCTTTTTGCAAATCCCACCTTGAAGCCCAGCTCCTGAGCACAGGCGTACACCAAAGCAGTCTTGCCCACACCCGACGGTCCTGTAATCAGCAGGGTGTTACCCAGTGGGTCCTCTCTGCCATCGTCTGATCCAGCTTCACCCTGGAAGTCTCCACAATCCCATGACTCTGCTCAAAAGGATACTTGTTACTTTTCCAAAAGTCACACGCATGGAATAAAAAAGAATAACATGTCTGACTGAGCAAAGCTTCACAGTGAAGAACCAGTTCATACCATTACTGTTTTCCTGTTGCTTCTTTTCCTCCATTTG